GAAAACCATAGGCACTATATTAAATAACAGGATGGTACAGCCTAAAAATTCAGGACCTCTTATATTCCTGTAGTACTTTACACTCTTATCTGTGCGTTTGCATAGTTGTCTCCCAGGCCTGGAATTCCCTTCTTCCCTTCCCCTTCAAACACTTCCCCACCTTCTACCTCTTAGAATCTCTAGCTCTAGCTCTAGCTCTAGCTCAATGATATAAGACCTTTCTTAATCCTCCTAACTGCCATTGCCTCCCCTCAAACCCCCAAATTACCTATTTATTTTGTGTGTACTTTGTGTATATATATATATATATATATATGCATATATATGTGTGTGTGTGTGTGTGTGTGTGTGTGTGTGTATACACACACACACACACACACACACACACACACACACACACAATTTTGTTTCTCCTTGAGAACACAGACTGTTTCATTTTTTTTCTTTTTACCCCAAGCACCTAACACAATGTCTGGGCTTAATAAATGTTTGTTAACAAATTGATTGATCAAAGGGCTTTCTTACCCATGATCTCATTGATTCCAGACTTAAAATGGTAAGGTAGGCATAGCACAGATCATTATCTTCATTGGACAGATAAAGAAATGAAGCTCAAGATCATACAGATATTAATCAATCTGTAAACAAGCATTTATTAAGCTCCTACTACATGTCTACCATTGTCCTACACACTGGAAAGCTAATCCAATGCTAGGACTAGAAGTTACACTTCCCAACTCCAAGGTGTTCTTTGCTACCCAGCTCCTGCCCTCTAAATTCTTTCAGAAACTCCAAGTTAAAGAATAAAAAACAGGGGGCAGCTAGGTGGCACAGTGGATAGAGCACCGGCCCTGAAGTCAGGAGGACCTGAGTTCAAATCCAGCCTCAGACCAAATACTTGGCACTTACTACCTCTGTGACCTTGGGCAAGTCACTTAACCCCAATTGCCTAAAAAAAAAAGGCAAAGAATAAAAAACAGGATGCAGAATGGTATAGACCAAAATGTCTTAGACCCCAAGTCCAAGTCTATTGTTCTTTGCCCCATGACACACTGCAAGTAGTCAGATTCAAAAGATATAATATTTGTAAAGGACCTCAGATACCATCTAATCTAACTCCCTCATTTTAAAAAATGTTGGCTATTTGTTTGTGGTTAGGAAATGATTTAAAAAAAAAAAAAGAAATGAAACAGGCTTTTGGACAGCATGCTACAGCAGCAAGAACTCTGAGCTGAGAGTCAAGACTACTGAATTCTAGTTTCATCACCAACTGACTACGCAATGGAAGGCATTTCATATTCCCTTTCTATGCCTCAGTCTCCTCTTTTATAAAATAAAGAGGTTAAACTAAATGGTCTTTAAGGTCTCTCTAAGCTCAGATATTCTGTGTCTATTAGCAGAATAGATAACATAAAGAAGAGAAAACCAAATTACAGTAATTAAATGATCTCACAGAAATTCACAAACACTTTTGCATAACAACCAAAAAAAGAAGTTTTGTGTGATGAGATACTTTAAGAAGGACTCAGCTTTGAGAGAAGAAGATACTTCTATGAAAAAATTTCAGTGATCATTTTAGCATCCATTTTTGTGGGTTCTGAGCTTCCATGAGACTATAATGTTTATCACTTATTTACATCTCAGTGCTCATTAGTTTTCATCAGCTAAATATCTATCTAACACTGGGACAAGAATAGTTTTAATGTGCTAAAGGTATGGGAAAGGTATTCTAGTGCTGGAGGTCTAGGGAGTACAACAGAAGTCATTCTAACTTATGGGTCACTGAAAAGATGCTTTGATAGGGTGCCACAAGGAGTATGGAGGCTTTGGGTTCCAAGAGCAGCACTAGAACACAGGGAACCTGGGGACTAGATGAAAAAGAGAATCAGAGTATGCTAGAGCTGGAAGGAACTTTAGGACAAAGACAAGTAGAGCAAACAAGGATGTTAGAACATAGAATATTAGAGCTGAGGACTTGGAACATAGAATGTTAGACCTGGAAGGAACTTTACAACATAACATGTTATAGCTGGAAGGGATCTTAGAACAAAGAATATTAGAGCAGGAAAGCACTTTAGAACAGTATGTTAGAGTTGGAGAAGACTTTAGAACATAGCCTGTGAGGGCTGGAGGAGACCTTAGAAAAAAAGAATGCTAGATCTAGAAGGGACTTTAGACATTATCTAGTCCAACATATTCATTTTACAGATGATGAAATTGAGGTCCAGAGAAGTTGAATGATTTACCCAAAGTTGCAGAGTTTATAAATGTCGGTGCTGGGATTCAAAACCAAGTCTTCCATCTCCAAATCCAAAGTTCTTTGCCCTTCACCCTATCTAAGTGGGAAAGAAACACAGAAAGGGGGACAGTTTCAAAGACCAACTCACATTTCTCTGGCAGTCCTGGCATTGAGGGTGAGGGGCTCTTAATTTCTGTCTTAGAAAATCCACTTATTCTCTCTAGTCACATCAGACAAGAAGAGCAGAATTCATAGACGATGCCTTGATTCTGCTACATGACATCTAGGAAATCTAGAGAGCCCTTTAATCTCTATCTTTTAGCAGTGAGTAAAACCTACCAAATGATTCATTTCTACCTGGTAAGGGGGTGGAAGGCCTGGCACCACATTAATAGCTAATTATGGTTCTAGTACTAAATAGACTGATAAATAAAGGTGTTCTGATGATTTCATTTACTGTGTGCTGACTATGCAAGACACTTACCAAAGCCCTGAAGATGATAAAGAAAACTAGGCAATGAAGGTAATCAAGCCCCTTTGGTGTTCATGGGATAAAACCAGCAGGCTCAAGTCCAAACAATCAGAAAGACTCCAATGAATATTATCACTCCATGGAGTATGTGTGGGGATAGGCCTCCAGGGTCATCTCCTAGATATCAGGGGTACTCCTTTGATTACCCCGAACTCCTATTTTAAGTACAACAGGTTCCTATTCTTAACAAGCTAACAGTCTACTAGGGGAACCCAGTAAGAAACCAGTTGTCTGCATCAGAGAGTAAACATCCTAGTATGGGTTTGATGGGGGGGGGAGCAGATTTCACAGAGGAGGTGGAATATGACCTTGAAGGAAGGATAGGATTAGAATCAAAGGAAAGCTAAAGGGACAGCATCTCAAACAAGGAACATGTCATGAGCAAAGGTACAGAAGAGGGGAAGCACAAGACATATACATGGGGAAAAGAGTGGATCAGTTGGGCTACAGTCAAAAGTTTATGTAAGGGTTTAGTGGATAATAAGACTGTGAAGGTAGGCTGGGGTCAAATCACAAAGTTCTTTGAATGCCAGGGTGGGGAATTTTTGTGTCATTCCACAGACAAAGGAAAAAATTTATTAGCAGGTAAAGTACAGAGTATAGTCAAAAGTGCATTGGACCTGGGGCAACTAGGTGGCACAGTGGATAGAGCACCTGCCCTGGAATCAGGAGGAACTGAGTTCAAATCTGGTCTCAGACACTTGATACTTACTAGCTGTGTGACCCTGGGCAAGTCACTTAACCCCATTGCCTAGCCAAAAAAAAAAGAATGCATTGTACCTGGAGTTAAGAGATCTCATTTTACCTAAGACAATAAGAGTGTGGCCCTGGGCAAGTCACTTAATTTCTCTGAGCCTCAGTTTCTTTATTTATAAATTGGGAAAATAATCTTAAAACTAATCATAGCAGCTAACATTTACACAGCAATTAAAAGTTTGCAAGGTATTTACCTCACAGGTTTATTATGAGGAAGGCAATTGACAAATATTAAAATACTATAGAAATTGGAGTTATAATCAATTGGTAAGTATTTATTAAGCACCTACTATATTACAAGCATTATATTCAGTACTTTGAATAAAGGCCAAATGTGAAACAGTCCTTGCCCTTCAGGAGTTTACTACCAGGAGTGACAACGTGTGCGTGCGTGTGTGTGTGTGTGTGTGTGTGAATGTAATCCAGGTCCCAGTCCTAGATCATTGGCAAAAGACTCTCATCATTGGTGGAGAAAATGAAGATTCAACAATTCAAGGCTGTGTGAGGGACAGAAGTGGTACAAAATCTAAGGAGAGGAAACTCCTGGGAGACCTTGGGAGAGAAGAGGATATGCCTGGTTCCAGAACATGGTTGTACTGGAGCTGTCTCAAACTGGCTCAAGAGAACTGCTTGTTAAATTTTCAATGTGAGCATTTACACTTTGGAAATCAGCAAGTGCTATAAGTCAGAGCTTGATTTACTTGTTTTGTTGATTGCCTGGACTTTAAAAAATGATGGGGAAAATGTGAATGCAGATTGAACTTCCAAGTGTGTCATGTGTATGATTCCCCCTCAATGTTAAACATTTTTCCAGCACAGCATTTCCCACCTCATCTTTGGAGAGAAATCTGGAGAGAGACAAGGATTTTGTGAAGCTGCAGACAAGCAGAGAGAGCCAAGTGTGTTCTCTCAAAGTAGGAAAGCAAGAATAATGTCTACCTCAAGCTGTCATGTTAACTCTGCCCCTCATGAAGTTGTGCAGCTTCAATCATCATTCCCTCTACCAATAAGAAGAATCTCATACAATGATCCAGGCTGGAGACTTGGATTACATAAATACATTTTCAAAAAATACCAAGTCAGTTGGAAGGGAGGGGATGGTAGAGAGGCATTCACAGCTGGAGGGAGATAGTATGGGGCAGGGGCTGGAAGTGAGAAAGACTCCATATCATGGTTTGGCTTCTGAAAGGTCATTTTCCAAGTTGCCTTGTAACAGCAGAAGGTTGAAAAAGCCTATGGGGAGAAGCACTTATTTCTCACACGCTGCACAGAAGGTGGTTAGCCAAGACCCAGTAAGAGCAAACCACTATAATGATTTCTCTGGGCAGGCCCCCAGTGAATGCGTAGATCACAGTGCAGCTTCAGCAGCCCTGCTGCTGACATGACACTGCATTTTGCACCAATTTGAAAAGCAAAAGGACCCCTCCCCCCTAAAAAAAAAAACAGATCTTGAAAGAGGGCAGCAAAGGCTGCATGCACTGCAACCATTGCCCAGAAGACAGATGTGAGTCTTGTAGAGAGAAGGACCTGCCTGTCTGCCTGTCTGTCCACAGAGGTGGCTTATACAAAGGGTGGAGAAAGATATGATAAGGAAGAAGCTTCAGGCCAGCAGGTACCATGGGCCTGGAGGGAGGTTTATAGAATCTTGGATGTGAAAGGATAGTAGCAATAATGAAGGGATAGGTAGCTAAAATCATGACTTTGCAAATCCCTTGCAAGCTTGGGAAAGAGACATTTCCTACTTACTTACTGTTGCTTTCCATATTATCTCCTCTTTGGTGTTCCTCGATATGTTCCCCTTGAAAGGGTAACTGAACAAAGAGGTACCTGGCTTGGAAACAGGAAGTTTGGTGTAATAACAGAAAGAGCATTGGATGTGAAGGCAAAGGATCTAAGCTCAAAACCCAGCTCTGCTACTTTCCACTTGTGTAACCTTGGGGAATCTGCTTTACCCCTTTGGGCCTCACTTTCCTCCTCTCCTAAGTGAAGGAGTTGAACTAGGTGGTCTCTAATGCCTCTTCTCACTTGCTAAGGCCTTTGAAACTACTCATCAAAACAAAATACACTTGGCAAAGGGAAGGGAAAATTTTTTTCAGGGCTGCAGTTTTTTAGGTTTATTCAAAAAGAAAAAGCAGTTGTTCAGTGGAAAATGCCTCCTTCCTAAACTGTGCCCTTGAATCTGCAAGAGATTACCAAGACAAACAAAATCTCCCTGGGAGAGTCACTTGTGAATAGTATTGAAGACAGAGACACAAGCCACTGAATAACAGCAAATCATTCTGTATTTCCTTTGCCAGTGCAGCCCAGCATTCCTCAAATTTTCTTGATCAAAGAAACATTTACTAGACCAGCGGTGGGGAACCTGCAGCCTTGAGGCCACATGTGGCCCTCTAGGTCCTCAAGTGCAGCCCTTTGACTGAATCCAAATTTCACAGAACATATCCCCTTAATAAAAGGATTTGTTCTGTAAAACTTGGACTCAGTCAAAAGGCCGCACCCGAGGACCTAGAAGGCCACATGTGGCCTCAAGGCCACAGGTTCCCCACCCCTGTACTAAACTATAGGCAACCTCTTATATGCTGAATTTCTCTATTTCCTACAGGTAAAAGATTATCAAGGCACATAATACTATTAATCAGGGCTCATACTATGTAATTCATTTATTATTCTGAGAACTGGATTTCATAGAACTGTTGTACCCAACTTAAGGGTTGATTGGTTGTTTTCCAAGGAGGTTTCTTAGCTTATTTGTTAGGCTGTTCGGCTTTGGTTTTTGGGTTTTTTTTGAGGGGGGGGATGAGTTCCGTAGCAGTTCACATAACAACAGCCTAGATTTCTACATTACCTCAAACTTCATAGTGCACTTTCCCCCATAACAGGCCTGTAACATCAGTAGCACAAGGATTATTGTTCCTATTTGACAAATGAGGAAACAGTAAGGTGAAAGGACTTGCCCATGGACACATAGCTAGTGCCGGAGTCAGAATTCAAACCTACATCTCTTGGCTCTAAATTGAATACTCTTCACAGAAAAGCATTTTCTTACTAGAAGGGACCTTAGAGAAGAGAGAGAGAAACTGAGATCCAGAGAAGCAAGATTACCTATTCAAGGACACATAGCTAGTGATGAAAATGGACCTCGAAGTTGTATTTTGACTCCGTGCCTAGCATCCACCTACACAAAGATACACTTCTTACCCCTAGCAAAAGGAAGCTTTCTCACGCCAGGTCCCACTTTTTCAGTGAGCTTAAATATTGTAGAAGAAGAACATGATGTCAGTGCACATCAATGGAGAGGAGGTATATGTCTTCGGGCAAGTTACACTCACCTACCTGTACTAAGAAGAGGTCAGCAAAGGAACATCATGGTGAAAGAGACAGAACAACCTTAATACTGATATAATAACTACCACTTGAGTGCTTTGTGTTTTTTAATATACTTTCCTTACAAGAACCCAGTGAGGTAGGTGGCGAGTGCTTTATTGTTCCCACTTTACAGAGAAGAAAAGTGAGGCTCAAAGAAATTAAATGCCTGGCCCAGGTTCCCTTAGCTAGAAAAGTCAGAACTGGTACTCAAACTTTTGTCCTCTAACTTAAAAAACTCAAGCTCCTACAGAATAACAGAAAAAGACACTGGTCACAAATTAAATTTTAGGCAGAGAGAATGGAAAATATAGACAGGAATCTGCCCTAGCCAACTCCAGTTAGTAGCTATTTTTATGACTATTTTAGTTGGATTAACAAGTACTGATGGCCAAACTATGGAATTTATTGAAGGACCAGCTTTGATAGAGTGGGCATTGAGATTAAAGGTTGGTCATAGTGTCTATGGTGTGTCTAATAAAAGGTAATTTGGAGAAACATTCCTGATAATTACTGTACCATTGATAACAACAAAGGAAGAGCAAGTCTTGAAGTCATGGTAGGATGATCATTGCTAGGTGGTGCTGTGAATAGGGTATTGATTGGACTTGTAGTCAAGAAGATCTGAGTTCAAGCACGAATGGATGAATGGATGGATGGATGGATGGATGGATGAACAACTAGCCTCCCCTGAATTCTCAGAGGCTAAGCAAATGGATTGAAATATTCATCAGATTCCAAAGTTCTAGGCACTTTGAAGTTAATCCTACTGACACAATGACTACTATCTAAGGGACAGTCTGTCTAAGTGTCAAGAGGCTCATTACCAGAAGACTAAAAGCTAGATGACAATGTGGCAGCCACAGAGACTTGTGAAATTGATTTAAAGTGACTTCATCACATTTCTAATAAAATGTTTTAAGACCCAGAAAAAGGTTCGTCCCAGAGGGCAGAGCCAAGAGAGATGGGCAGAAGTTGCAGTGATTCAGATCTGTGCCCCATGTAAGCAAACTTCCTAACAGAGCTCCTCAGAAGTGAAAGGGTACCTTAGGAAATAGGAGGTTCTCCTTCAGTGAAGGCTGGATGACTGCTTGATAGGTGCATTATAGAAGGAGTGTTCTTATTTAAATATTGGTTGGACTAGAGAGGGAAGGGGAAGGAAGCAAGCATTTATTAAGCACCTAGCATGTTCCAAATACCATGCTAGGCACTTTACAAACATTATCTCATTTGATCCTCCCAACAACCCTGTGAGGTATATGCTATTATTATCCCCATTTTATGATTGAGGAAACTGAGAAGACAGAGGCTAAATGAATTTGCCCAGGGTCATACAGTTAACAAGTATTTGAGACTGGATTTGAACTCAGATCTTTCTGACTCCAGGCCCAATGCTCTATCTGTCCACTGTACTACCTAGCTGACTAAAGGTCCCTTCCAACTCCAAGAATCTGTGGGTCATCAGGTGATACACTAGATGGCAAACTCCTTAAGGCTGAGCTCCCTCAGCACAGTGACAGACCACTGCACAGAGGCCCATTTATTTGTATTGGAATGAGCATAGGCCCTGAAATCACAAAAAAAAATTTGGATTCAAATTCCCCTTCTAACAGCCACATAGTGATGACAGGTCACTTAACCTTTCTGAACCTCAGTTTCTTCATTTGTAAAATGAATATAAAATCTATAGCACTTTTTTCATATGACTGTCAAGAATCAAGTGAGAGAATTTAAACATTCTGCAAAACTTAAAGCACTATGTCAGTGTCAGCTATCATTACTTTTAACTGACCCTAATGACAGCCATCCAGTAACAGAATGGACTCCTCATATCTGGGTACCAGGATCACTGCCAGTGAAAATGTTTTAGAAGAGAGTGAATGACCACCAGATTGGGTTATTATGGCTAGGATCCTTATATGGGGTGGGAGGCTGGGCTAAAATCCTATGATCCCCCAAAAGAAAGAAGGAAGAAAACAAGGATTAAAGAGGATAAAGGGAAAGGGAAGAGAAGAACTTTTAAGAGAAAGATTCCACTGGTACAAGTATCTTCCTAAAGTAAAACATAGAAACCTAGTAATCCAAGTTTTGCACTTGAAAGTTCCTCCTTGTGAAAGTATATACACATATATGCATATGTGTATATGTAGATAGATATATATGTATATGCCTACATACATACACATATGTGTATATGTAGATAGATAGATATATATGTATATGCTTACATACATACACATATGTGTATATATAATATTACATTTTTCGAGCACTGAAGTGTACTCACGGAATCACTATAGCAACAGACAGGGATGTTTGTGGTACCCGGTACAAGTACAGATGCAATTTGATTACATGAAAGATTAATCAATAGGAACCACCTCCTTGCTGGGGGGCCTCAGGCAACAAACATGAGCTTGGCTAATGCAACTGAACCACCTGATGTCAGCACTACCTACAGGCCCAAGAGCAGGAGTTCCCAAGAGAGCTTTGGACTCATGTCTTCCATAACAATCGGGAAGCTTAGTTTATTATGCAGTCAGATCTCAGTGGACCAGTGTGCTTGTGGCTGGAAAACTAGAAAATTCTCAGCTGCTTCTTCTCTAAAAATAACTGTTTCCAAGATCTGATGTGGGCACCTGAAATCTGCTGAGAGTTATTTCTCCACTGACCGCACCATCAACTGTTACCATGAAGCCAGTCATTTTCAGATATCGTTCAGCCCTCATTAGTCATGTTGCTTCCCAATTTCCCCTTTGTCATGGGAATGAAAAGACTCCAACCATGAGCAAGATAATTTTCCTATGACATTTATCATAGGATCACCACTTTAAGAGCTGAAAGAGTCCTCAAAATTAATCTAAACCCAACTCCCTCAGCTTACAGATAAGGAATCCTAGGTCCAGAGAGGTGACATGATTTTCCTGAAGTCTAAGTCCTGCCTTGGGGCAGCCAGGTGGCCCAGTGGAGAGACCACTGACTTAGAATCAGGAAGACTCATCCTCCTAAGTTCAAATCCAGCCTCAGACACTAGCTGTGTCCCTGGGCAAGTCACTTGACCCTGTTTGCCTTCAGTTTCCTCCTTTGTAAAATCAGCTGGAGAAATAAATGGCAAGCCACTCCAGTATCTTTGCCAAGAAAACCCCAAATAGGGTTGCCAAGAATGAGAAATGACTAAACAACAAAACTCCTAGGTCCCAGTCTATATAGTACATTCCATTATACCTCAAGTTCTTTGAGGGCAGAGACTTTTATAAAACAATGTTTTGTCTTTTCATTGCCTGTGCCTAGGACAATGTTTTGCACATAGTAGGTGCTTAATAAATGCTTGCCAGATTGGATTGGATACCACTATGTAGTCTGTCATATTAGATAACGATCTTGAAAGGACAACATTTCCCCCATGCCTCACAAGCTTTCTGGGACACACGCTTATATCTATGACAAAGGAAAAAAACAAAACAAAATCTTTTAGACTCAGCCATCGCTATCTCTGTGAATGATCTGGTCACCAAGGCCTAGATCTTTTCAGAATCCTCAGCCTCAAAAAAGCACTAAGCACAAAGTGGGAAGGAGGAGAATTTTTTATGACAGTCAGATTAGCAGAATCCACAGCACCTGCAAATGGAGCCCCAAAGAACACATATCTGAATACAGAATGAAAATATTATTCAGGGTATGACTTGAGAATGGTTTGGATGTCAGGGCAAAATTCAATCCAAGATCATAGTTTCTAGGGCCCAGAGAAAAGATGAAAAAAAAAACCGTCTTCCTTTCCTTCTTTGCATAGGTAGAAATTATGGCATCTGCTGTCAGCCTCAGGTAAGTAATTATGTCGAACAGCTTTTTCTTTCTCCTCTGGTTTTTTTTTTTTAATTTCATGTTACAAGGGATGACTCCTTAGGCAGGGGACAGGGGAGGGATATATTCAGAAACAAAACCAAAAGGTTTGAATTTTAATTTTTAAAAAGGTCGAAGCTGGTCCTATTTTCCATAATAAATGTTTTCATGTCTATAGTATGTCAAAGCATTTTCCTCACCACAACCTTCTGAAACAGGTCATTCAAGGATATTATTTTACAGATAAGGAAATTGAGGCTTAGAGAAATTACATTGACTTGATCAGGGTCACACAACCACTATCAGGACCAGGTTTTGAACCCAGGTTTCCCAACTTTCTAAGTTGAGTGGGCTCATCACAAGGCCCCAGACAGCCTTTCAATTGCCCACGAAATTTAAATATCAATTTTGCATAAGTTCTTAGGTTTCTCTCCAAAAACCCAGAAAAAAATGATGTGGCTTTGCTAGCTATGAGGTTTCATCCATCACAAGCACAATACTAACTAGTAAGACTACCGATGAGTCTCAGTGGCCATTCCTCAGAAACACGGCTTTTTGTAAATTCATGTATTTCAAAAGTTGTTTTATCTGACATTCTATCCCCTAGAATTCTCTGACGACCAGTAGGAGCACATCTCTTCCAGGCCCTGATATACTACTATGCCAAGCTCTGGCTTACCTCTGTGTCTTTTCTCATGCTGTCCTTGCTGGTGTCACACACACACACACACACACACACACACACCCTTTTCCCATCCTCCAAGGTCTTCATCCATCATAAGGGTCTTCTCAATGAACCTAAACCATAGCGAGCTGGAGCCCCAAACTCCATCCCAGATCAGACAACTCACTGCTCGTCCTTGGGCAAGTTACTTTCATTTCCTTTTCTATGATATAAAAAGGGGGACACCAGATGAACTGCAAGACCTCTTCCAGTTCTAAAGCTATACCCTATATTTAACTCTCACAGCTATTTAACTTGTCTTCTGATTATGGCTTACCCAGATAGATGCTAGGTTTCTTGTGGGTAAGGATAAATTTTAAATTTCCTTATAATATCCATGGCATTGAGTAAAGTGCTGGGCAGGAAGCAGGGCACATAGTAAACGTTTGTCTAATTATTTTATATATCATATTTGATGCTCATCTTAATCACATTGACAAGGGCATGCTGCAGTACCTTATCAATCTCAGCTCTGCCACTTATTACCTGTGTGACATTGGGCAACTAATTTTCCCTCTTTGGGCCTCGGCTTCCTTATCTGTATAACAGGAGTGGGGTATATTCTAGACAATTTATAAGGTCACTTGCAGCTCTAAATTCTATGATCCTTATGCAAGGTCATTACAAACATGGCATAATAGAAAGAAAATTGGATTTGGAGGCAAAGGAGCTGAGCTGATTTTGCCTCCTTTGGGTCTGCATTGTCATTCCCAAATGAGAAAAGAGGGAGTCCAGGCCTGAGTCTGTAAACCAATTTCTGTCTTCGCCATCTGGCAAACAGAGGCCAATGAATTCTTGGGGCTGGCCCCTGGCAGTGAACTTAGCTTACTGGCACCTGCAGGCCCTGTTGACAGTGAGCAAAGTGGCAAATGAAGGCAGAACTGTTCTTCTTCAAAAGTTTTCTGTAGTCCAGGAAGAAAAAAATAACTAACCCTATCTGAATTCAAACTGAAAGAGTAAACACCAAAGTCAAGTAGATCAAGGAAATGGGTGTGTAGCCATCATCAAGTATTGGAAAAAAGAACTAGATTTGGTGCCAGAGAATCTGGGGTGAAATCCTAACTCTGCTACTTGGCATTACTTTTCCTCCTTGGGCCTTAGTTTCCTCATGAAAAATGTAAGTGGAAAGGATTGGATAATACCTAAGGTCTCTCCTAGCTTTAAATTCTCTGATCCTATGAAGTAGTGAATTGGGACAAGAGAGACAGAGAGACAGAGACGGAGAGGAGAGGAAAGAAGAGGAGAGGAAAGACAGAAACAGGAGAGAAAGAAATAAGAAAGAGAGAGAGAGAGAGAGAGAGAGAAACAGAAGATTTACTCAGCAGAACCTATTGTGCACCAGGATAATTTTTGTGTTGTAATTGTTGAGTCGTTTTAGTCACGTCCAACTCTCCATGACCCCATTTGGGGTTTTCTTGGCACAGATACTGGAGTGGTTTACCATTTCTTTCTCCAGCTCATTTTACAGATGAGGAAACTGAGACAAATGGGGTGAAATGACTTGTCCAGGGTCATACAACTAGTAAGTTCCAGGGTCAGATTTGAACTCAGGTCCTCCTTACTCCAGGCCTGGCACTCTATCCAATGTCTCCCACCAGGACACTAGTGATACCAAAAAAAAAAAAAAAGAAAAAGAAAAATGTCCAATCTCTACTCTTAAGGAGTATACATTCTATAAGACAGTAGAGGGAGAAAAAAAGGGAAAAAGGAGGTGAACAGAAACAGAGAGATGGTGGAGCAGAGACAGGGAGAGAGGATGGAAGGGAGTAGAAAAGGGCTAAAGAGAAACACATTTCTATATACCAACCCAACAAGGCAATATGGTTCAGTAGAAAGATCACTAATACTCATGGAGAGGGTCCGAGTTCAAATCCCACCTCTAATATTTACTATCTGGGTAATGAACGTTGTCCACGACCTCAGTCCTTAACGTCACTATTGGCCTCAGTTTTCTCATCACTAAAATGAGGTTAGACTAGATGTCTTCCTCAACTCTAAATCTATGATCCAATGGGGCCAATATATAATGCGATTATTACTATCCTCAATTTTCAAATAAAGAAACTAAGTCTCAGAAAAGGCTACATGACTTGCCCAGGGTCACACAGCTGGCTGGTAAATGTAAGGTCTGAGAAGCAGGCATCCTTTAAGGTCTGGCTTAAACACCCTCTCCTCTGTGAAGATCTTCACTGATCACCTCCAGCCCACACAGATCTTCCCTTCCTTGGAACCTCCAGCAGCAGTGACTGTCCCAACCCTACCACCCATTTTGAACTTGGACAACACCAAGTATTTTATCTCTTCCCTCTCCCTGTTTCCATCCAAACCATGAGCTTTCTGAGAAGAGAGACCCCATTTTATCGTAGAGATCATTTTGGCCTGAACAGGTCAGGAGTGTTTTCACAAAGCCAGAGGGGCCTGAGCTAGATCCAAAGGGATGGTGTTGTTTGAGCTACTATAAGAGGATGGGACGGAGGGACTGGAGGGGAGGGAATACTGTGCCAAGGAGAAAAAGAGAATTATACAGGTAAAGACAAAAAGCATGAGGCACATTTCAGGGACTGGAAGTAGATGAGTAGGAAGACAACAGAAGTAAAGGGGAAGGGGGACAGCAGGAAGGAAATAAGCATTTATGATACAACATGACAGGCATTGTTCTAAGTGCTTTATAAATATTAACTCATTTGAGTCTCCTAACAACCCTGGGAGACTGGTGCTCTTATTATTCTCATTTACAGTTGGGGAAACTGAGGCAAGCAGTTTAAATGTCTTGCCCAGTGTCACACAGCATAAAGCTAGTAACTATCTGAGGCTGGATTTGAACTCTGGTCTTCCTGACTCGGGGCCCAGTGTTGCGCCACCTGAATTTCTCATAGAGCATAGAAAGCTACTGGTGGAGGAGACCTTTCTAGGTCCCTTATTTTACAGATAAAGAAGCAAAGTTCCAGAGAAGGAAAATTATTTTCCCAAGGTTACATGGCTTGTTAGTGGCAGGGCAAAGACAAAAAAAAAATCTGACATCCTTCACCCAAGGCTGAAAAGGTAGATTGAGGTTAGACTGGAACAGGCCTTGAATTCCAGATTAAGGAGCCGGCCTTAGAGTGGGTACCACGCAGGGTTACCAGCTGAGGCAGAGCCTGGAGGAAAGGAGCCCTTAGAATTCTTTCTGCCGCATCCTCACTGCCCCCGTGACCTCAGGTACACCACCCCTGGGCCTCTCTTGCTTTCCCGGGGGGGGGGGGGGGGGGGCGTGGGGCAGGTTGTTCTGCAGCAAAACAAAAATACCACAGCTTCATGCTGGTAATGACTAATATCCTCCCACCTCACTCAGCCGGTTGGAGATTAATTAGGTTTGGAAAGTGCTTTGATGATGTCAGGCACTGTTCCCTAGGAGCTCTGAGCTGTTTCTACTGCCACAGTGTTTCCTGTGCCAAATTCGCCTCAAAGGTAGCAAAGCCATATGAGCTTTTAGGGAGCGCCCCGTAAAGCGAAGGCAATGAACCTGAAAAATCACACACACACCCCACGCCCCGCCCCTCCTTTCTTCCCCTCCAGAAGCAGCAGCGGGCAGCGAGCTCCCGCATCCTACCTTCCCAGCGAGAGGGCTGCCTGGGCGGCACGCCGGGGAGGCACTGGCAGCGGCGATTAATGAGGCCGGCGCAGGACGGGGAAACGGCCCCCACTGAGCCCTCTTTGGCCCTCAGCAGAGGGGAGCGGCAGGGTGCAACGCGGGCCACGGGCAGCTTCCCAGCACTGCCAGGGCCCCGTGACCTTCAGACTCCCCACATGTGAAGCTCCTTATTAGTTGTGAGAGTCCTGAAATGACTGGCAACTTACTCATGCACCAGGGTTCTGAGCAATTCAGGTGCCCTCCCCGGGCCTTGTTTGCTGTGCATGTCTGATTTCTTGCCCTGCAGGTATCCTGAAGATACTGATGACTGCTCAAGAAAGTGTCTGGCCAATTGTCAAGTGCAAAAGGAGTGTGCAATTTGGCCTGGCCCCAGTTCTGTTTGAATGCCCAGGGAAAGGGGGGGAGGGGAGGAAGAGGAAATGAAGAGGAAAGGAGAGAGAAAGGAAAGGAAAAGGGAGGGAAGAGGAAGGAAAAGAGGGAAGAAAGGAAGGAAGGAAGGAAGGAAGGAAGGAAGGAAGGAAGGAAGGAAGGAAGGAAGGAAGGAAGGAAGGAAGGAAGGAAGGAAGGAAGGGAGGGAGGGAGGGAGGGAGGGAGGGAGGGAGGGAGGGAAGGAATTTAAAAGGAAGG